AACGCAAAGCAAGGTCATGCAGTTGCAACGTGACCACAGGGCGATGCCGTGAAACAAGGCCATGAAGAGACCGTAAAGCGAGGCCACGAAATAAGACCGCAAAGAGATCATGGAGTGAGTTCATAGAGGAAGACTGCAAGGAGACCACAAAGCGATGATTTAGTTGCAATGCAACGGGAAGCTATGATATAGAGTTGTAAAACAAAGTTGGATATGGAGTCAAGTCATGAAGTTGTGATACATAGTTGTGAAATTGCGATATGAGGATGCAAAGTTGCAATACGAAATTTGTGAAGAGACAAGCTTTACTTGTGCTCAGGTGTTGTCTTGCCCATTGTACATCGCAAGAGGTGTGATGGCTTCTATGTACTTATATCTTGAGTTAAAGGGAGATAGTTTAGAGTTGGAGACCTCATCTTAAGAAAAGCCAAAGGCCTCAACTCAAGGAAGGCTCCAAGAAGCTAGCACCGAACTGAAAAGGACTATACAGAGTTACAAAGGTACTAGGACCGAGTACCTATCAATTTAAAACTTTGGAAGTAAAAGTTGTACCTCAAGCTTGGAATTTGGAATTTTGGAAATTTAAAATGTATTACCAATAAGATTACCAAGTTATAATCCTTCTATCATTGTTGATAAAATTTCCTTTTTTCCATCAGCTCTTGTTGTTTGTAAGTAAAATATGACAAACTACAAACTCAAACCTAAAACCCTGATTAGGGTATTGGGAATATCTCCCTTGTCATTCATGGGGAGAAGTTCCCAATACACAGAAGTGGTGTTATGTGGGTAAGGATGTGGGAACAACTTGTGGATGATAGATCCAGAGTGCATGTTGCGGTCTCTAACGTTTTCTTTACTTACAGGTTGCCAAAGCCTTAGTCTTTCTAGTCCACTCCTTTGTTGCAGATCTTAATAGCAACACCTATGTTTACCGTCGCAGAATTGGGGTAAAAGTAAAACCCCTAACTAAACAACTTGCCGTTGTGGTATAACCCTGTTTTCATCGCACAAACCACAATGGTTGTCACCATTTATTTTCCCTCTCCTATGAGATCCGGTGAGCCAATAATTTCACCGCTGTGGTATAACCTTGATCATTCCTTTGTTTCCCTCGCCCAATTACTTGCTTCTCTCTCGTCTTTTTTTTTTTTTTTTTCTTAGTTGTGTAGTCTAGCAAGCTAACGAGAATTGTGATAAGCATCTCATTGAACCTAGCTAGGAGCTGACTTCCCATCTTATCTCTCCACCTTCCATTTCATATTCACCATTGCAAAATTCAAATAAGATGTTCTTTTTTCCTTCGGTTATTATCATAAGGTTGGAGGATTTTCTTTATTCATCAAAGGAACAATGGGGTTTTGCCCGGCATTGTTTACTTGGACAAACGATGAATCAATGGTAACAATTTCAACGTTTAAGTCCGAAGACTCAATTTGCCAAAAACAATAAAAAAAAAGAAGACGACTTCAATTTTATGAATAAGGGAGGCAGATAAGTATTGTTTTAGTCAATAGATATTCTACTTTTGTTAATGCTAAACATGGGTAAATTGGGGATTTTGAAATTATTAAAAGCGAAAGTAGAACCTTTTCTATTAGGTAATTAACGGCATAATAACCGCAGGGGTGTATTTAATATAATATGACATAATATAAGTATAAATTATGTTACTATATATATATATATATATATATATATATATGTGTGTGTGTGTGTGCGCTTCTGATGTGCTTCAGAAGTACAGAAAATCTTTCAATCTCCATTTCTTATTGCCCTTGCAAAATCACAATGAAGAGTAAGAAGAGGATTTCAAATTCGAGGAAGTGGCTTTGGTGCTTTGCTATTGTTCTTCTTCCTAGGTAAACTTAAAAACCCTGAATGGCGAGATCGATCTGGTCTCTCTGTGTTGTCAGATTTTGAAGCAGGGACCTGGAGGTCCTTAACTCCATTAGGAAACTAACTGTGACTGAGGTTTTAGGGATTGGATGATGCAGCCATCAAAAAGCTCACCAATAGTGAGACAGTCCCTCCCTAACTGATCACTGAAATCAAAGGATTTGGGTTCACCGGGCTTCTCTTCCCAATCAAATGGGATGATGGTAGAAGAAGAAGAAGGCCCATGGTCAAGGTTGGAGTGTTGAAGTAGAACTCATAGTCATGGAAATGTTTAGGGCTGGAAGGTGTGCTACTGCAGGGAGAAGAGAAGGCGCTATGGAAGTTGAAATCCATATTCGGTGGTGCCAGTGCCATCACCTCCATGTTGAGTTTCAGTTTCGCTTGACTGTTTTATAAAAAGAAAAGAGTAGAGAGAGAGAGATTATGAGCAAGGTTCAAAGTATCGACACGTATTGGCCTGTATTGGCCAATATGTATCATATCAGGAGCACCCCGATATGCCTCTACAGAGGGTGTATCGGAATTCTAACCTGTTCAGGAGTGGAAGAACCATAAACCGCCCCCCAAACCAGTTTTGAAGAAAAAAAAGCACCGATACACCCCTACCGGCATATCAGGCATATTGATATTTAGAACCTTGATTACGACGAGCAAGAATACTTCTACATCAATTTTTTCGATGTATTTTTTACATCGATTATCGATGTAAAAGTCATTCAAAATAGAATTTTACACCAATTTTCGTTAATCTTTTACACTCCATCCAAACAGCCACAAAACCAGACCGAAATGTAATATTTACACCAGTCCAACATTTACACCACAAACAAACACAACCTTAATTTTACGGTTCATTTTTTCAACAAGGTACTTAGTTTTGGTCTTTTGGAAACCGTATATTTAAATAATTTAATGAAACCTTATGGTATATTTAAGTAATGAATCCTAATCCCTACTCTTACTGAAACCAACAAAAACATGCTTTAATCTCCACAAGGCTGACTCTGGCATGGTCTATTATTTGGTGTGCAGCAAACAGAAAAATATCCCATACACGCTCCTGGGAGTTCTCATCTAAACTTTAGATTACTAACCCACATTCAAATGGATTAAGGTCCGAAGTATGGAAGAATGAAAACGACAAATGAGCTAATATCCATTTGATGAAGAGACTAAATTAGATGACTTATTACTTCGTCATTTGAGGAATATAACAATCAAATAAAATATTGAAGTGTATAGTAATCAACCTAACTTTAGTTTCAGCGTTAAAGAGCTCAAAACCTCTTTAACAACTTAGTCACTAAAAGACAAACCATAAGCTATTCAGTTCATCCAGCTGTTATGAAATAGCCATTAAAAACGAAAAAATGTTTTCTGATTTTATTTTAAGAATCAATGTCAAAGCAGGTGCTCGACCTTTACTTGTTTGCAAACAATAACAAGAAAAAATAATTCACCCAACAAATCATTATCACTTTGTAAAATGAACGCTAGGTGGGCAATTGCCTCTACAAATATTTGCAACCAAGGCAACCAAGTTGCAATAACAAATGAAGTGTTAATAGAAGGGTAAATTGCAGATAGGTACCCGGTAATTTGGGGGTAGTCTTGCATTAGGGCCTAAACTTTGAAATATGCCACTTAGTACCTAAACTTTCAGAAATGTACATTCAAGTCCACTTCCATTAAACTAAGGTTATGATGATAGGTAAAATTCATAATTTTACTTCTCACCCTAACGTTAATTTAATGGAGTTGAACTTAAATGTATATCTTTGAAAATTCAAATACTAAAGTGGCACATTTGAATGTTCAGGCTGTAAAGTGAGACCACCCAACCTACATTTTTTGATGTCTAACAAATGAGGGAAATAAATAAAACAAGAAGAAAGGAATGATCAACACGATTCCCATGTTCAACATAATGAGCCACTTGCATTTTCTGATCTGGCTGCTTGCTTGGCTGTGTATTGCTTGCTATGTAACCAATCAAAAGTGAACATGCCAGTGTTCCATATGTTGGCATGTGGAACCCATGGGTATGGACCACTGATGTGTTCACTCACGATCAGTTACATAGCAAATAATATACAGCCAAGTGAGCAGCATATCCTGATTGATTTTAACATTTGTTTCCATTCAATTAGACTTTCAGCGGGTAAGACAGAATTGAGCTGCTTTGAGGGAGGCTCAACCTTTTGAAATGAGATGAAAACACACACACACGCATCTATTTTTCTATTATTTTTATTTATATATAAACAGTAAACAAGGAAAATAACATAAACAAAAATCAAATTTTCCAATTATTTGATTAGAAGATGTAAAAAACACAAACAGGTCAGGGAGGGTGGTCAGGTTTAGCCTAATACCTACCCTACCCATACCCATACAAGTTGTAAATTCCCAGAACCTGTCCCTTCCCCAAAATTTGTTTTTCAAGCCAAAAAGAACAACCTATCAGGGCGGGTACCCCACCAGGTAAGGTAGAAACTTCCATCCCTAAAAGAGAGAGAGAGAGAGAGAGAGAGAGGACGGAGGGAAATTTCACATCTGTTCAGTGGGCTATTTATACCTAATATATCCAGTACACAAGGTAGTTAGATCTTTTCAATAGACCCTATTGCAGCTACCCGCCTGAGGACGTCTATGGACTGTGCTAATTCCTTCCTGGGTTGCAATACTCTCACTGGACTGGGCCTTATCAGGGTTGTATCAAATAGACAATTTTAACATACATGTCGGGATATGCTTAGGTAACATGGACATGGTGGAATCATTAGGATATGCATGGATACACTAGAGAAACCTATACATCCCACTAATACATCAATAACACCATGTCTAAGGTTTAAATAACTATTAAGGTATAAAAAACATAAGAAACACATTTTAATAATTTATGTGAAATGTGAACCTTTGCTTTTGTTAAAACATCTTGTTGTAGAGTAGTATGGTGGTGAGACTTGTTTGTTAAGCATGCAATCTAAGTACACTCCTGGCAGTAGATGTTATCTTTACGCATTTCTATAAATATAAAGGAGTTCGTGTATTCGGAAATCCATGGCTCAATATGGCAGCCCTTGTGATCACAAATATAGTGTGAATTGTGAAAGATATTACATGAATGACTTGATGTTGCATTGTGCCTTTTCAAGATTCTGTACAAATTCTCCTTTTATCATCTACTAACCAACAATGACACCATAACGGATAGTAGGAATAAGAAACAATTCTATTAGTGCCACATACCTATCCTAAAAAGATAATACTGCTGCTTTATGCCAGAAAGTCATGCAGGCAATTTATTTCACCAAAACCCAAAATAAGCCCTTCAATTCCTCGTTATAAAACAGTTTGGGAGAGAGAGAGAGAGAGAGAGAGAGAGAGAGAGAATTCCATGTGAAAACCAGCTTATACAAACTATGCAAACTATGTAGATCATAGTTGGGAGTCTCAAACACTAAGTTGGTCAAAAATAAGAGAGCATGAGATCACACATGAAATATAATAACTAGCATGTGAAATGCCTGTACCTGCGTTTGAGCTTCATCGACTATTAAGATCAATATTGATTCTTGATGACTTAATCAATGGCAATGATCAGAAAACCAACAGATACATACATGAGGAAGACTGGGTAGAGTGCAAGGGCTTTTCTTCTTGGGTTAACGGCTGAACTCATGAAAGGATAAGCAGCCCAGGAGCTCCATGCCAATGTCACACACACCACAATAACCTTTATAATCACATTGTCTTTCAACATGCATATCAGCGCTCCAATATCAAGAGGGAAGAGGCAGTAACCAAGAAGACTGAGACTCTGAAAGAAGATTATCTGCCCACCCTATAACAATAAACCATGTAAAAGTCTTCAATACCAATTTTGTGTGCCACAGATAACACAAACCAGGAAAGAGGAAGCAGGGAGGGGAGAGAATTTACCAAGAGTAGGACATTCAACGTTAGAATTATAGCACCAGCTGCAAGAAGTGCAAATGCAACTGCAAAAACCTCAGACTGGAAAATGGACAATGAGCAAAACAAAAATGTTCAGTCATGAACTTGCTAAATAATCTTGTACTGCAAAATTTTCTCTGCTATTTATTTCATAAATCAAAAAATAACATGAAGAAAACAAGTCTTACATGGTTTTTTTTGTACAACACATGCACAAGTACAAGATACAATATGAGATGAGTCCAAACTTTCATTTTCATTGAAAGCTGGATTTTATTCATCATTTCTCAAAATAAAAATGCCATAGATGGACCAATCAGAAGATTCACATACCCTACGCCAAATGGGAAGTGGACCAGGAACAACAATCAGGGAGAAAATTAATGAACAGAAAAAAAAAATAGGAAAAAAAAATCTATCACAAGTTCTTAACATAAGAAATCAACATATTAGTTGCACTTACAATTCCAATGGATATGGCATTAAACAGAATAGAATGGCAAAACAGGTTTAATACAGCCAACCCATATAGTTTTGGATAAGGCTGATATGATATGATGATGAATTGCACTTAAAATTAAAAGAATCTAGAAATTTTCTTTTTTTTTTGTAAGATATCCTATTGAGATCAGTATTTTAAAAGCGAGGACAAAGCAAGATGTGCTCACCTGAAACAAAGCAAGGCACAAATTAAAAAAAAAAAAAAAAAAAAAAGATAAATGAAAAACATTAATACATAAAATTTTTTGAAACTTGTATTTTAAAATAAATTAAAGGTTTTAAAAAAGCTTGTTTGCTCAAATCAAAATGCATAAACATGACATATAAAACAAATTCAAAGTAAAGAGAAAGCAAGCAAATTTAGATCATACCAAAGCACTTCAAGCACTCAACTATTCAAGCATGTGAAACTCTAAACATGACTGTCTATAGCCTTGTTGCATTACTTAAAGTAGCTAGTTGATGTTGCCTTGCATTTCTAGTTCTAGGAGTTAGGGCCTTTACACACGGTGTTTTCAACCAATTCTTGACCTATCTGGCCAAACCGTTCAACCCATCACTCATAATACCGGCTTGGGTTAACCCCTAACATGCCTTTGAGCAAAAACCTGTTACCTTGTGACCTGGGAATAAGGGGGTTGATTTTATGATTTTGGTTGTTCATTCTACTTTAAGGTTAGGGATCATAGGGCCGCAACTTAGGTGGGTTGGGCTGGGCTGAGGGTGCAACTCAGGTCAAAGATTCAAACTTTGGCCTCAGGCCTGGCTCAACCTGAGGACAAGCCCGAAATTACCAACCCAAGCTTAAGCCAACACAATTCATGTTGGGCTTGATTGGGCCTGGGTGGGTTGGTCAGGTTTGAAAGAATGTCATTAATATGAAGACTTTTTGAACATATTCTGTATAACCATCTTTTATTGGATTTTATGGCTCAATTTATGAGTGAACTGAAAATATGTACAAATGTCATTAATAAATGCATAAATACATATTTTATGCATATATGCATGCACAAATATAATTAGGAAAAGATGCTTTTCTATAAATAAAATGAATAATATGCATACATACATATATTCATTCAGGTGGGCTCAAGTTGGGTCAGGCCAGGCTCAGGATCCAAGACCTCAGCCCAAGCCTAACCTGAGTTTAGGTCAGGCCCAAGTTTTCTGGCCAACACCTAGACTAGAGCCTAAAAGCTCAGGCCCAACCTATGAAAAAGCTTGAGTTAGGCCCCACCCAAGTCGTGGCCCTAGGGGATTAGAGATCAATTGTTAATAGACCATTAATTTTTTTTTATCAGCAACACAAAAATGGTTTCATTAATAAGAAAGCACAGTTCCAACAAGAGGTGGTGAAAAAAATAGACAGCTTTAGAGAAGCTGACCCAACCCAAGAATTACAATTGAACCCAATACAGATGAATTCTTTGTACCCCTTGCTTAGTTAGACCATCTGCCAAGCTGTTGGCTGTTCTCCTCACCCATTTGACTCGGATTGTCATGTGCTTTGATAGCCATTTAAATCGCCTCAATTCATTCCTCAAATGCCATGTCACCCTCTCCCCTTCTTTAACCATTTCACAACAGTTTCCAAGCCTCCCTCAATGATCAGTCTATTAATGCCCAACTCTTTTGCCTTTTCGACCCCATATACTGCAGCCAAAAGTTCTGATCTTGCCACATCACCTTGTTCAGAAGGAACCAAGTATAAAGCAATGATGTTTCCTTCTTCATCCCTAATGCCACCCATGCCTGAGGAGCCTGGATTACCCAAACAACTCCCATCAAAATTCAGTTTCTTCCATCCACCTATTGGGGGTAACCACTTCTCAGCAGATTTCTGTCTTCTAGATGAAGGCAATAACATCCCAAGCCCTGAAAAAGCCTTCAACCTGAAAACAGTTTCAAGCTTTTTGCCCAGTGTGCCACTCTCAAAGTTTTGATTTCTACCAAGGCTTCCTTGCTTCTTTCTCTTTCTTCAAGTATTCTTGCATTTCTTTGCTTCTAATGAAATTTAATGAATTTTATTTATCAAAAAATTCAGATTCTTCCATACGCCTATTGGGGGTGACCACTTCTCAGCAGATTCCTGTCTTCTAGAGGAAGGCAATAACATCCCAAGCCCTGAAAAAGTCTTCAACCTTGAAATTTGAAAACAATTTCAGGCTTTTTGCCCAGTGTGCCACTCTCAAAGTTTTGATTCCTACCAAGGCTTCCTTGCTTCTTTCTCTTTCTTCAACTATTATTGTGTTTCTTTGCTTCTAATGAATTTTATTTATCAAAAAAAATTCTTGCATTTTTTTACTCCCAAACAGTCCAAAGCACCATTGCTGTAGTACACCTCCCCAAGATCCCATCCCTCCTTTTAGTGCAACTAAAGCAAATAGAGCTAAACAAACCTTCCAACCTGTTAGGAGAAGACCGTCTGCATGGAAGCGAACCACTTCCAAATAAAGCTAACAAAAGGACAAGAGACTAGAAGATGGAATGCAATATCACCATTTAACTTACACAGGACACACCAGTTGGGGGACAAACACCAAATTGGTCCTTTTCTTTGTAGCAAGTCAAAGGTATTAATACAACCATGAAACACTTCCCAACAGAAAGAACTGATTTTAGGGAAATGGGAAAGCACCAAACTTCCTTGATTGGGAAAGGAGAAGGGGAGGTGGCTACCAAGGAATTAAAGAAAGATATACAAGAAAATAACCCATCAGAATGAATGCCCCAAACCCTAGAATCCGAGCCACCTTCTCCCAAAAACACTAAATTCAGCAAGCCAAACAACTTCGACACACTAGGAATTTCAGATTCTCCAAGGTTCCTGTTAAAGCCAAGTTAATAGACCAGTACTGGTGCATAAACACCAATAAAAGGTAATTTTGAAATCAATAGACCATTACAAAGTTATGAAATACATAAGAATGCATAAAAAGGTGACCAAAAATTTCTATCAAAAAAAGTGACCAAAAAGCAAACTTACAAAAGGCACACACCAAAGTGCATGCCTTTGTGCATGCCTTTTGGGGCTGCACCTTGGGTTAAATGGTAAACCTGACTTGCCTTGACCCATAGTTGTCAAGGCAACACCTAGGCGATAAGGCATTCTTAGAGGCTAATGAATCAGCCAAACCATTAGCAGACCTTGGTGCCCAATGTATTCTTATTGTCATCTCCCATGTTAGCCATTTTCTTTTGTAATTGTAGTAATTGTAATTAAAATAGAATTTATTAAAAGAAAAAGAAGGGTACGAGGAAGGTGACAAGAAATCACCGCGAAGAAAAGAAAAACTAAGCATCTCAACAATCAGTGAAAACCCAACTTCAAGACCCCAATATCGCCACCTAAACAACTATACCAAAAGAACACACCAAACCAAAGAAAAAAGAGGACTAACAAAGACTCGAATCAAACCCCAAAACCAACCTAACACCAAAGACACAAAACCCCAAACAAGCAAACAAAAGGACCACCATGTAGCAACATAACTCCTCACCCATTCAGCATCTTCAGTGGCCTGATCAAGGATCTCTTTGCACCTCTTAAAGCCTTTCTTTACACCTATTCCAAATAACACCCCCCCCCCCTTCCATGCTAGCAAAATCTTTCGACACCTGACCGTAATATGTTAGTTCGATACTGCTTTCTTCTCATCTTTCACCCAACCAACCACCACTTGAGAGTGCCCTTTAATAACCACCCTCTCAAAGTTCACCGCTTTTGCCTTTTGTACTCAACATAGGACACCAAACAATTCAGCTCTTGTACATCCCCTAAACCAACAGAACCCAAGAACAAAACTAATATATTATGATCTTTGTCACTAAACACCCCTTCAACCCTCGAGGGGCCTAGCTTACCAAAACTGCCTCAATCAAAATTTAGTTTTATGAAACTATCTTCAGGTGGTTCCCATTCTTTTTGAATTTTACTCTTCCATTGACAATGCAGCCACTACCCCACATTTCCTTCTCAAATCATCATATGAATATGGCGAGAACAGGTCCATAGATTTTACCAATGAATCACTCTTGTCATGACACACTCCAAGTGTTTCCATGCTTCTTTCTTCTTCCTTGAATTTTCTTGCATTACTTTCTTCCTATACTGTTCATAACACAGCAGCCCTGGTACATCTCCACATTATTCTCTTTTCTCCTTGGTCATTTAAAGGTTCCAACCTCAAATATGTAGAAGCAATGAGGGATAGTTCTGTCTTTTCATATTTCTTGTACACATATTTCTTCTTTGTGCATTACTTGTCTTTTATTCTTTATGATAGGGCAGAATAACCTTTCATTTTATTAATATGAAGTCTCTTTTCTTGGGTGCTGCTCCCACTAGACATGCCCACACAGATTGTCTCCTCTTTCTTTCTCTCTTCCCTCTTCATAATCTAACTCTGACATGGTATCAGAGCAGGTCACGACCTGACTTACTTCCAAACATCAAAACAGACAATATTCTGATCTTCAACAGTTCAAACTGTTTTCCTACTCGTACAGTTGCCTAGGGCTGTTTTGATCAGCCCTAATCTGGCAGTTCCTAGAAA